TATTCCCTCTATTTCAGCAATCTCTCCTGCTCTGAAGGGGGAAGTGAGTATACAATTGACGATTTACTATAAAACCAAAAAAACGGCCAATCTACTCGTGAGAAACTCTCCAGACACGAAGCAGAACGCTTTAAAAGAGACCAACGTCGTCTATACCTTCAAATGCCCACTTGGGAACTGTAAGCCTCAAAGAACTCAGTATATAGGCAAGACAACAACATCTCTTTCCAGGCGATTAACGATGCATAAGCAACAGGGCTCCATTAAGGAACAAATAATATCTTCCCACAACCAGACCATCACCAGAGAGGTCTTAACAAACAACACAGAAACCATCGATAGATACAGCGATAGGAGGCGGCTTGACATCTGCAAGGCACTACACATCAAGAAGTCAACACCAGCAATCAACAGCCAATTAATGCACAACTATATTCTACCCACTTCAAGACTCCGCTCCAATATAGAAGCATCAAGAAATATGGGCCAATTGGCCCTTTGCAGTTACTTCCATTCTTCCCTTTAATTTACCCAATTTATACCCATTGCACCGTGTTCTGTCTTGTGTTGAAAGTTTGCTCTCTCTTGTGTTGAAAGTTTTGTTCACCTCATCCAAAAACTGTTGTAAGATATCACCTCACCCAAATGCGGATATATAAAATGAAAGCTGTTTAAATGATAGCCACGGGAGACATCTCCCGTCATGCAGGGTGCAATCGCACCTCCATAGATCTTCAGTATCAGCTCTTGATACTGGTATTGGCTCAAAAGGGCCGCCACTTACGGGCTATTCATGCCCGTGCCACCTTTTAGGTGGCTTAATCTTTATCAATCAATCAATCTAAATGATAGCATAGTAGAACTCTGTTTAGTGTTTGCAGGTTATAGTTGTGTGTGTGTGTTAACTAAAGTCTTTGAAAATGTAATAAGTTATTTCGAAACGCGTTCAAGTGTCACATCAGACTAGAAATAGAAATGAATTTTGGAGAATTGATTTTTCAATTACCATCGACATTGAAAAGAAACATAAGAATATTGAGGAAATTCGTGTTAGAATTATTAATCTTACTTTTTCGGTCATATTTAATAATATTATATATATATATATATATATATATATATATATATATATATATATATATATATATATATATATATATATATATATATATATATATATATATATATATATATATATATATATATATATATGTTGTTATATAAGTAACAAACGTCACTAACGCCCAGATGGAGTCACCCTGCAGCCATGGAAGGAAGATAAACAGGTCGTGTGGGACTACACGTGTGCGTCTACGTTGGATGATAACTATCAACCTCACAGTACAGCTGAGGGAGGCGAGGCGACCACCTTCAGGGAGACCCAGAAAACCAACAAGTACAGGCACCTAGAACGTTGTTACAGGTTCGTGCAGATAGGCTCTGAGACCCTGGGCGCCTGGGGGTAAATGTGCACTGAAGTTCCTAAACGAGGTGGGCGAAGAACTCGTTACGCTAACCAAAGGCTCAAGAACATCCAGTTTCCTATTCCAGCGCCTCAGTGTCGCCGCAACAGTGATTGTTGTGTGTGTGTGTGTGTGTGTTTTCTGTTAACTGTAACACAATGTAATAAAATAAAAAAGGTCATAATAAATAAAAAAAAGTCATATAGAATAAAATACAAAAAAATAGTAGGGGTGGTAGGAGGAGAAAATATTAAAATGTTCAATGAGAATCAACAAGATCTCTGAATACTCTTTATTCTCTTCTCCGAGGCTATGGGTCCATACAATAACACCAGAGCTGGTACCCATATTATATATATATATATATATATATATATATATATATATATATATATATATATATATATATATATATATATATATATATATATATGTGTGTGTGTGTGTGTGTGTGTGTGTGTGTGTGTGTGTGTGTGTGTGTGCGTGTGTGTGTGTGTGTGTCTGTCTGCATGTGCGAGTGTGAGTGTGAACAAGCTTAAATGGTCCCCAAGCATATATGTGAAGAAAAACTCCACACCCCAAAAGTGACTCGAACCCGGACCGCCAGGAGCACATTGCAACTGGGGTACACGGTGCCTTAAACCACTCGACCATCAGTGACCGTACATAAGGTGGTGATAGCCGAGGCTATTTGAACCACCACCCCGACGGCACTTTGATGGTAATCTTGGGCATGTTTTTCCCCGTCACAGATATGACATGTATACATTATGTATAATAAAACCCGCTCGGTTGCAAATGGAACGTTGTGTTAAAGTTTCAAAGCAATCGGTGAAGAACTTTCGGAGATTAACGAATTTGTTCAAACGAACATTTATATTTTTATTTATAAGGATATTAGTATATTTTGGTAGCAATCTTTCTTATAGACAAATGTTGTTGAATATGACCGAAAGGGTAAGATTAAAGATTCTTTCACGAATCTTCTCAACATTATTTATGTTTTTCTTCATTGTCGAGGGAAGCTGAAAAATTAACTCTTCAAAGTTCAGTTTCACACTATATTATGGTCTGACGCCTAGGAATGCATTATGCAAGGCACTCCTTACATTTTCAAAGACAAATTTACCATGCCTCTGAAAAGCTTATATACTCTCGGGGTTAGGTGGTACAGGACGTGATTGAGATGAACAAGTGGATGAAACAAAATGGTTATTAATAGGTTATTCAATGTATGAACATTGTGACAATAATCTCCTTCAAGAGATTGAGCCTGCTCTTCCCTCTACAAATACGTCGCAACAAACTATATAAAACTACTAGGGAAGAAATGTCCAACAACGACAACAACATTTCCAAGGTTTGCCAGAGCGCAAAACGTATGCAGCCAGACACCTGTTCAGACTCAAACCGCCAAACTACCTGTTGATCGCTACCGGCTCCGCTGATTGGTCGCCGGTCTGGCTGCAACTGCACTCGCCCCCCCATACTACTTGATGTCTGGGGTCGCCACGACCTCAGACCTCAGAATATTCTGTGCTTTCGCAGTTACCACTCCTCCCGGCTAGACGTTAGCGTATACTGAGAGAGGTGGTAGCTTAAAGCCAATATTCCAGCACCTTACCTTTATTTTTGTATTGCACTTCTTGTTATTTTGTCTTAACGTAACTTTTCATTGTGTCATTTAATTATTCTTATTATTTTGATTGATTGATTTTATTATACAAATTTGTTTGTCCATTTTTTCATGTTTTGATTTATTTAACGTAATTAAAATTTCATTGTTAAAGTTTACTTGTGTTTTGTGTGTCTTCTCCTTACCTTACCACAGACGAAGTTCCAGTTTTTTCTATTTTTTTTTATAACTATGTGACGAGGCCATACCCCTAGCCTTAAACAGCCGAACACCAACGCGTTACCGTCACAACATAAGCAGCTTTTGTTCTTGTTTCTACTGTTTCTGTGTTGGTTCGTGGTCTTGAAGTGGGTAGAATGTTATTATGTGATAACTGGTTGTTGATTGTTGGTCTTGACATTTTGATGTGTAGGGCCTCGCTGATGTCGAGTCTCCTGTTGTCGTTGAACCTGTCGATAATTTCTCTGATGTTTGTTAAGATTTCTCTGGTGATGGTCTGGTTGTGTGAGGAAATTATATGCTTCTTGGTGGAGCCCTGTTGTTTGTGCATTATTAATCGCCTAGAGAGACACATTGTTGTCTTGCCTATATACTGAGATCTTTGGGGCAGACAGTCCACAAGTGGGCATGTGAAGGCATAAACGTCGTTGGTCTCTTTTAAGTCGTTCTGTTTGGTGTCTGGAGAGTTCTTCATAAGTAGGTTGGCGGTCTTCTTGTTTTTGTAGTAAATTGTTAATTGTATCTTCTGATTGGTGTCTGTGGGGATAACGTTCCCATCAATAATATCTTTCAGAACTCTTTCTTCCGTTTTATAAGCCGTGGAAAAGTAGTTCCTTTAAAACAATCTAATAGCGGGCACAGGTGCTGTGTTAGCTGATTCTTCAGAGCGTGTCACCTTCCTTTTAATGTCTTCAACATAACCGTTAGAGAAGCCATTATTGACTAGGTCCCGCCTTACTCTGCAGAGCCTCGTCGACCTGCTTTCAACCAGAGCTGTGAGTGAGAGCTCGGTCGACGTAGGTCTTGACAACACTCCGCTGGTACCTGTCTGGGCAGTCACTATTAGCATTAAGGCACATTATAAAACATTAAGGAACATTATAATTATTCCTCCGGCTTATAAAACGGAGGAAAGAGTTCTGATAATAGTAGTTAACTAAGTGTTTGTTCCTGCACATAGAGGCCCAACGGCTCCAATAGTGATTACACCACACCCAATAGTGATTAAATTAGGATCTAGCGTTCCTAATTTAATCACGATGTCCATTCTTCTTCGATTATCCATGCTGATTAGTAATTAGCCTCTCAGGCTCAATAATCTCATTCATCTCTTTCACCTCAAAGTTCAATCATTATATTCCACAAAAAAGAGTTGAGTAATTTTGGGAGTTAATTAATGAGTAATGTGGCCGATCCTATCGGCTGATAATGATCAGCCATCACCAGGGTGCTGAGGGAGGGAGGGAGGGAGGGAGGGAGGGAGAGGGAGAGAGAGACAGAGAGAGAGACAGAGACAGGAGAGAGGGAAGAGGGAAAGAGAGAAGTAGAGGTAAAGAGATGGAGGTATAGAGAGAGGTAATGAGGTAGAGAGAAAGGTAGGAAGAGAGGTAGAGAATAAAATTGACTGAATTTTATTGTGTCAAAATATTGTGATAGGTGTAGCCGGTGGGCAGTATCATAACACTGTGTCGTGGTGGTCAGAGTGTGACTCTGGAACACTGTAATTCTGGTGACCCCGACCAGCCTATGTTCATCCCGCACCCCGGACCATTCTCCCAGCAAATAATACTGCCCCCTCTTTCCCCTCGGGCTTATATGTTATTATGTGGCTCACGACATCTGTACATTGAGTGATTGCGGTGTGTGTATATTGTGATTGATGGAGGTCGTTTACGAATATGTTAAATAACACAGAACTTAGTCAGGAGTCTTGCGGAACTCCACTTGTCGGAGTCAAGGTCAGAGCATTTATCCCGTTGAAGCAGGGAGTGGTGCGTCTGTGCTTCTTGAAGCAGGGAGTGGTGCGTCCGTGCTTCTTGAAGCAGGGAGTGGTGCGTCCGTGCTTCTTGAAGCAGGGAGTGGTGCGTCCGTGCTTCTTGAAGCAGGGAGTGGTGCGTCCGTGCTTCTTGAAGCAGGGAGTGGTGCGTCCGTGCTTCTTGAAGCATCGAGTGGTGCGTCCGTGCTTCTTGAAGCAGGGAGTGGTGCGTCCGTGCTTCTTGAGGCAGGGAGTGGTGCGTCCGTGCTTCTTGAAGCATCGAGTGGTGCGTCCGTGCTTCTTGAAGCAGGGAGTGGTGCGTCCGTGCTTCTTGAGGCAGGGAGTGGTGCGTCCGTGCTTCTTGAAGCATCGAGTGGTGCGTCCGTGCTTCTTGAAGCAGGGAGTGGTGCGTCCGTGCTTCTTGAGGCAGGGAGTGGTGCGTCCGTGCTTCTTGAAGCAGGGAGTGGTGTGTCCGTGCTTCTTGAAGCAGGGAGTGGTGCGTCTGTGCTTCTTGAAGCAGGGAGTGGTGCGTCTGTGCTTCTTGAAGCAGGGAGTGGTGCGTCTGTGCTTCTTGAAGCAGGGAGTGGTGCGTCTGTGCTTCTTGAAGCAGGGAGTGGTGCGTCTGTGCTTCTTGAAGCAGGGAGTGGTGCGTCTGTGCTTCTTGAAGCAGGGAGTGGTGCGTCTGTGCTTCTTGAAGCAGGGAGTGGTGCGTCTGTGCTTCTTGAAGCAGGGAGTGGTGCGTCTGTGCTTCTTGAAGCAGGGAGTGGTGCGTCTGTGCTTCTTGAAGCAGGGAGTGGTGCGTCTGTGCTTCTTGAAGGGTCCTCTCGGTATCATTAGAGTCCAGTGTTGGGAGTCTGTCGGGTTGACCACAAGTCCGTCGTGTCAGAGGCTGTCAAGTCCTTGTGCACATCTCTTGTTGCTCTCTGAACACATTTACAACAACGTAAGTATTCAACAATCATAACACAACTACTGAACAACCTCAGCACAACTACTGAACAACCTCAGCACAACTACTGAACAACCTCAGCACAACTACTGAACAACCTCAGCACAACTACTGAACAACCTCAACACAACTACTGAACAACCTCAGCACAACTACTGAACAACCTCAGCACAACTACTGAACAACCTCAGCACAACTTCTGTACAACCACATCACAACTTCTGTACAACCTCAGCACAACTACTGAACAACCTCAGCACAACTACTGAACAACCTCAGGACAGACAACTACTGAACAACCTCAGCACAACTACTGAACAACCTCAGCACAACTACTGAACAACCTCAGCACAACTACTGAACAACCTCAGCACAACTACTGTACAACCTCAGCACAACTACTCTACAACCTCAGCACAACTACTGAACAACCTCAGCACAACTACTGAACAACCTCAGCACAACTACTCTACAACCTCAGCACAACTACTGAACAACCTCAGCACAACTACTGAACAACCTCAGCACAACTACTGAACAACCTCAGCACAACTACTGAACAACCTCAGCACAACTACTGAACAACCTCAGCACAACTACTGAACAACCTCAGCACAACTACTGAACAACCTCAGCACAACTACTGTACAACCTCAGCACAACTACTGTACAACCTCAGCACAACTACTGTACAACCTCAGCACAACTACTGTACAACCTCAGCACAACTACTCTACAACCTCAGCACAACTACTGAACAACCTCAGCACAACTACTGAACAACCTCAGCACAACTACTCTACAACCTCAGCACAACTACTGAACAACCTCAGCACAACTACTGAACAACCTCAGCACAACTACAACCTCAGCACAACTACTGAACAACCTCAACACAACTACTGAACAACCTCAGCACAACTACTGAACAACCTCAGCACAACTACTGTACAACCTCAGCACAACTACTGTACAACCTCAGCACAACTACTGAACAACCTCAGTACAACTAAAGAACAACCTCAGCACAACTACTGTACAACCTCAGCACAACTACTCTACAACCTCAGCACAACTACTGAACAACCTCAGCACAACTACTGTACAACCTCAGCACAACTACTGTACAACCTCATCACAACTACTGTACAACCTCAGCACAACTACTGAACAACCTCAGCACAACTACTGAACAACCTCAGCACAACTACTGAACAACCTCAGCACAACTACTGTACAACCTCAGCACAACTACTGTACAACCTCAGCACAACTACTGTACAACCTTAGCACAACTACTCTACAACCTCAGCACAACTACTGAACAACCTCAGCACAACTACTGAACAACCTCAGCACAACTACTCTACAACCTCAGCACAACTACTGAACAACCTCAGCACAACTACTGAACAACCTCAGCACAACTACTCTACAACCTCAGCACAACTACTGAACAACCTCAGCACAACTACTGAACAACCTCAGCACAACTACTCTACAACCTCAGCACAACTACTCTACAACCTCAGCACAACTACTGAACAACCTCAGCACAACTACCGTACAACCTCAGCACAACTACTGTACAACCTCAGCACAACTACTCTACAACCTCAGCACAACTACTGAACAACCTCAGCACAACTACTGAACAACCTCAGCACAACTACAACCTCAGCACAACTACTGAACAACCTCAACACAACTACTGAACAACTTCAGCACAACTACTGAACAACCTCAGCACAACTACTGTACAACCTCAGCACAACTACTCTACAACCTCAGCACAACTACTGAACAACCTCAGTACAACTACTGAACAACCTCAGCACAACTACTGAACAATCTCAGCACAACTACTCTACAACCTCAGCACAACTACTGTACAACCTCAGCACAACTACTGAACAACCTCAGCACAACTACTGAACAACCTCAACACAACTACTGAACAACCTCAGCACAACTACTGAACAACCTCAGCACAACTACTCTACAACCTCAGCACAACTACTCTACAACCTCAGCACAACTACTGAACAACCTCAGTACAACTACTGAACAACCTCAGCACAACTACTGAACAACCTCAGCACAACTACTGTACAACCTCAGCACAACTACTCTACAACCTCAGCACAACTACTGAACAACCTCAGTACAACTACTGAACAACCTCAGCACAACTACTGAACAATCTCAGCACAACTACTCTACAACCTCAGCACAACTACTGTACAACCTCAGCACAACTACTGAACAACCTCAGCACAACTACTGAACAACCTCAACACAACTACTGAACAACCTCAGCACAACTACTGAACAACCTCAGCACAACTACTCTACAACCTCAGCACAACTACTCTACAACCTCAGCACAACTACTGAACAACCTCAGTACAACTACTGAACAACCTCAGCACAACTACTGAACAACCTCAGCACAACTACTGTACAACCTCAGCACAACTACTGAACAACCTCAGCACAACTACTGAACAACCTCAGCACAACTACTGAACAACCTCAGCACAACTACTGTACAACCTCAGCACAACTACTGTACAACCTCAGCACAACTACTGTACAACCTTAGCACAACTACTCTACAACCTCAGCACAACTACTGAACAACCTCAGCACAACTACTGAACAACCTCAGCACAACTACTCTACAACCTCAGCACAACTACTGAACAACCTCAGCACAACTACTGAACAACCTCACCACAACTACTGAACAACCTCAGCACAACTACTCTACAACCTCAGCACAACTATTGAACAACCTCAGCACAACTACTGAACAACCTCAGCACAACTACTCTACAACCTCAGCACAACTACTGAACAACCTCAGCACAACTACTGAACAACCTCAGCACAACTACAACCTCAGCACAACTACTGAACAACCTCAACACAACTACTGAACAACCTCAGCACAACTACTGTACAACCTCAGCACAACTACTCTACAACCTCAGCACAACTACTGAACAACCTCAGTACAACTACTGAACAACCTCAGCACAACTACTGTACAACCTCAGCACAACTACTCTACAACCTCAGCACAACTACTGAACAACCTCAGCACAACTACTGAACAACCTCAGCACAACTACTGTACAACCTCAGCACAACTACTGAACAACCTCAGCACAACTACTCTACAACCTCAGCACAACTACTGTACAACCTCAGCACAACTACTGTACAACCTCAGCACAACTACTGAACAACCTCAGCACAACTACTGTACAACCTCAGCACAACTACTCTACAACCTCAGCACAACTACTGAACAACCTCAGCACAACTACTCTACAACCTCAGCACAACTACTGTACAACCTCAGCACAACTACTGTACAACCTCAGCACAACTACTGAACAACCTCAGCACAACTACTGTACAACCTCAGCACAACTACTCTACAACCTCAGCACAACTACTGAACAACCTCAGCACAACTACTCTACAACCTCAGCACAACTACTGAACAACCTCAGCACAACTACTCTACAACCTCAGCACAACTACTCTACAACCTCAGCACAACTACTGAACAACCTCAGCACAACTACTGAACAACCTCAGCACAACTACTCTATAACCTCAGCACAACTACTCTACAACCTCAGCACAACTACTCTACAACCTCAGCACAACTACTCTACAACCTCAGCACAACTACTGTACAACCTCAGCACAACTACTGAACAACCTCAGCACAACTATTGAACAACCTCAGCACAACTACTGAACAACCTCAGCACAACTACTGAACAACCTCAGCACAACTACTGAACAACCTCAGCACAACTACTGAACAACCTCAGCACAACTACTCTACAACCTCAGCACAACTACTGAACAACCTCAGCACAATTACTGAACAACCTCAGCACAACTACTCTACAACCTGAGCACAACTACTCTACAACCTCAGCACAACTACTGAACAACCTCAGCACAACTACTGTACAACCTCAGCACAACTACTGTACAACCTCAGCACAACTACTCTACAACCTCAGCACAACTACTGAACAACCTCAGCACAACTACTGAACAACCTCAGCACAACTACAACCTCAGCACAACTACTGAACAACCTCAACACAACTACTGAACAACCTCAGCACAACTACTGAACAACCTCAGCACAACTACTGTACAACCTCAGCACAACTACTCTACAACCTCAGCACAACTACTGAACAACCTCAGTACAACTACTGAACAACCTCAGCACAACTACTGTACAACCTCAGCACAACTACTGAACAACCTCAGCACAACTGCTCTACAACCTCAGCACAACTACTGTACAACCTCAGCACAACTACTGAACAACCTCAGCACAACTACTGAACAACCTCAACACAACTACTGAACAACCTCAGCACAACTACTGAACAACCTCAGCACAACTACTGTACAACCTCAGCACAACTACTCTACAACCTCAGCACAACTACTGAACAACCTCAGTACAACTACTGAACAACCTCAGCACAACTACTGAACAACCTCAGCACAGCTACTGTACAACCTCAGCACAACTACTGAACAACCTCAGCACAACTACTGAACAACCTCAGCACAACTACTGAACAACCTCAGCACAACTACTGTGCAACCTCAGCACAACTACTGTACAACCTCAGCACAACTACTGTACAACCTTAGCACAACTACTCTACAACCTCAGCACAACTACTGAACAACCTCAGCACAACTACTGAACAACCTCAGCACAACTACTCTACAACCTCAGCACAATTACTGAACAACCTCAGCACAACTACTGAACAACCTCAGCACAACTACTCTACAACCTCAGCACAACTACTGAACAACCTCAGCACAACTACTGAACAACCTCAGCACCACTACTCTACAACCTCAGCACAACTACTGAACAACCTCAGCACAACTACTGAACAACCTCAGCACAACTACAACCTCAGCACAACTACTGAACAACCTCAACACAACTACTGAACAACCTCAGCACAACTACTGTACAACCTCAGCACAACTACTCTACAACCTCAGCACAACTACTGAACAACCTCAGTACAACTACTGAACAACCTCAGCACAACTACTGTACAACCTCAGCACAACTACTCTACAACCTCAGCACAACTACTGAACAACCTCAGCACAACTACTGTACAACCTCAGCACAACTACTCTACAACCTCAGCACAACTACTGAACAACCTCAGCACAACTACTCTACAACCTCAGCACAACTACTGAACAACCTCAGCACAACTACTCTACAACCTCAGCACAACTACTCTACAACCTCAGCACAACTACTGAACAACCTCAGCACAACTACTGAACAACCTCAGCACAAATACTCTATAACCTCAGCACAACTACTCTACAACCTCAGCACAACTACTCTACAACCTCAGCACAACTGCTGTACAACCTCAGCACAACTACTGTACAACCTCAGCACAACTACTGAACAACCTCAGCACAACTACTGAACAACCTCAGCACAACTACTGAACAACCTCAGCACAACTACTGAACAACCTCAGCACAACTACTGAACAACCTCAGCACAACTACTGAACAACCTCAGCACAACTACTGTACAACCTCAGCACAACTACTGTACAACCTCAGCACAACTACTCTACAACCTCAGCACAACTACTCTACAACCTCAGCACAACTACTGAACAACCTCAGCACAACTACTGTACAACCTCAGCACAACTACTCTACAACCTCAGCACAACTACTGAACAACCTCAGCACAACTACTGTACAACCTCAGCACAACTACTGTACAACCTCTGCACAACTACTGAATAACCTCAGCACAACTACTCTACAACCTCAGCACAACTACTGAACAACCTCAGCACAACTACTCTACAACCTCAGCACAACTACTGAACAACCTCAGCACAACTACTCTACAACCTCAGCACAACTACTCTACAACCTCAGCACAACTACTGAACAACCTCAGCACAACTACTGAACAACCTCAGCACAACTACTCTACAACCTCAGCACAACTACTCTACAACCTCAGCACAACTACTCTACAACCTCAGCACAACTACTGAACAACCTCAGCACAACTACTCTACAACCTCAGCACAACTACTGTACAACCTCAGCACAACTACTGAACAACCTCAGCACAACTACTGAACAACCTCAGCACAACTACTCTACAACCTCAGCACAACTACTGAACAACCTCAGCACAACTACTGAACAACCTCAGCACAACTACTCTACAACCTCAGCACAACTACTGTACAACCTCAGCACAACTACTGTACAACCTCAGCACTACTGAACAACCTCAGCACAACTACTGAACAACCTCAGCACAACTACTCTACAACCTCAGCACAACTACTCTACAACCTCAGCACAACTACTGAACAACCTCAGCACAACTACTCTACAACCTCAGAACAACTACTGTACAACCTCAGCACAACTACTCTACAACCTCAGCACAACTACTGAACAACCTCAGCACAACTACTGAACAACCTCAGCACAACTACTGTACAACCTCAGCACAACTACTGTACAACCTCAGCACAACTACTCTACAACCTCAGCACAACTACTGAACAACCTCAGCACAACTACTGAACAACCTACAACCTACTGTAAGTCACAATGAAGACAGGTAAGCCTCGACGTCACGGACGCCGGGGGTGACACCTGTGGTCGGTGCCACGCAGTAAACCTCTCCCTCGACGTCACGGACGCCGGGGGTGACACCTGTGGTCGGGGCCACGCAGTAAACCTCTCCCTCGACGTCACGGACGCCGGGGGTGACACCTGTGGTCGGGGCCACGCAGTAAACCTCTCCCTCGACGTCACGGACGCCGGGGGTGACACCTGTGGTCGGTGCCACGCAGTAAACCTCTCCCTCGACGTCACGGACGCCGGGGGTGACACCTGTGGTCGGTGCCACGCAGTAAACCTCTCCCTCGACGTCACGGACGCCGGGGGTGACACCTGTGGTTGGTGCCACGCAGTAAACCTCTCCCTCGACGTCACGGACGCCGGGGGTGACACCTGTGGTTGGTGCCACGCAGTAAACCTCTCCCTCGACGTCACGGACGCCGGGGGTGACACCTCTGGTTGGTTCCACGCAGTAAACCTCTCCCTCGACGTCACGGACGCCGGGGGTGACACCTGTGGTCGGTGCCACGCAGTAAACCTCTCCCTCGACGTCACGGACGCCATTCCAGTGGAGATTTAGGAGTCGATCTCACGCAAGTGATGCTGAAAAGATATTGGAGATTTCTCAGAACCTTGCGTGCCTTCGTCGACCCATTACCCTCTGGAAGAGACATATCGGATATTTATCGGTACCGGGCAAGATATACAGACCAGTTTCCGTAGTCGTCAATTACTCTCGTAACTAAATCTGAGTAAACTTTTTTACATATTCGCAAAGCGCTTTAATTTCAGTAAAATAGTTTGGTTTACAGTGAATGGCGTTTTCTGCAACATGGGAGACGAGGCTTGGAGCCGCTCACGTCTGGTTAGTCAGCTCATGTCATAGGCTGTCCCTCCTACTCCAGCAGACACCTGCCGAGGCGCCGGGATAAGACTATACTGACGCAGGTTCAAGTCTTTTGTAGTGCTTCGAGCATTTTTATTAGTGGTGCTACTTGTCTATAACGCACTTGATGGCTGAAATGTATAAACCTTGACAACACTGTGGTGGTGGCTGTCAGGTGTAAACCTTGACAAACACTGTGGTGGTGGAGGCTGTCAGGTGTAAACCTTGACAACACTGTGGTGGTGGTGGCTGTCAGGTGTAAACCTTGACAAACACTGTGGTGGTGGAGGCTGTCAGGTGTAAACCTTGACAAACACTGTGGTGGTGGAGGCTGTCAGGTGTAAACTTGGACAAACACTGTGATGGTGGCGGCTGTCAGGTGTAAACCTTGACAAACACTGTGGTGGTGGAGGCTGTCAGGTGTAAACTTGGAGAAACACAACCACACGGTGGAAGCTGCCGCCCCATAACCCGGATGGAAAGCTTCAACTCGAAATAGAGGGATAGTGCTGGAGATAGTGGGACAAGGTCTGAAGTGTTTGTTGACTTGTGCTGGAGATAGTGGGACAAGGTCTGTAGTGTGTGTGTTGACTTGTGGTGGAGATAGTGGGACAAGGTCTGTAGTGTGTGTGTTGACTTGTGGTGGAGACAGAGGAGCGGTGACTAAACAGAGCCGTGTGTTAGAGGGAGACTTGCCACACTGTAGGGCGGGATGTGGTGCTTATGGCGGCAGCTATATGCAAAATCAACATAGAATCAAATCAACGCTTCACGCTAAAATTATCTATCAAAACAGCTTAAGAAAATGAGGCAGAAGAAAAAGGGATCAAATATTACCAACCCGCTCACTTGGCAGTACCAAGTGAGCGGGTTCGAATCCCCCAAATGGCTCTTACAGATTTTTTCAAGGGATCAAGTGCTCAGGCAAGAAGTCAGTGCCCCCAGCTAAGGTAGAGCAGCGCTTCAACATAACACAGTGTTTTATCACCTCATTTTGTCCGGTCGTGATGGTCAAGTGGATTAAGGCGTCTTGTACATACCAGTTGCGTTGCTTCTGGGATTATGGGTTCGAGTCACTTCTGGGGTGTGAGTTTTCAGTTGCATATGTCCTGGGGACCATTCAGGCTTGTTCGCATTTGTGTTCCTCACGTGTGCCCCAAAGAATGAGGTGATTTGGTAAAATGCTATGCCCAAGATAACTATCCGAGTGCCGGCGGTGGGGTGGTTCATATAGCCTCGGCTATCACCTCATTTTGTCCGGTCGTGATGGTCAAGTGGATTAAGGCGTCTTGTACATACCAGTTGCGTTGCTTCTGGGAGTATGGGTTCGAGTCACTTCTGGGGTGTGAGTTTTCAGTTGCATATGTCCTGGGGACCATTCAGGCTTGTTCGCATTTGTGTTCCTCACGTGTGCCCCAAAGAATGAGGTGATTTGGTAAAATGCTATGCCCAAGATAACTATCCGAGTGCCGGCGGTGGGGTGGTTCATATAGCCTCGGCTATCACCTCATTTTGTCCGGTCGTGATGGTCAAGTGGATTAAGGCGTCTTGTACATACCAGTTGCGTTGCTTCTGGGAGTATGGGTTCGAGTCACTTCTGGGGTGTGAGTTTTCAGTTATATATATATATATATATATATATATATATATATATATATATATATATATATATATATATATATATATATATATATATAAATAACAAAAGTCACTAACGCCTAGATGGAGTCATCCTGCAGCCATGGAGGGAAGATAAACAGGTCGTGTGGGACTACACGTGTGCGTCTACGTTGGATGATATCTACCTACCTCACAGTACAGTTGAGGGAGGCGGGGCGACCACCTTCAGGGAGACTCAGGAAACCAACAAGTACAGGCACCTAGAATGTTGTTACAGGTTCGTGCAGATAGGCTCTGAGACTCTGGGCGCCTGGGGTAAATGTGCACTTAAGTTCCTAAACGAGGTGGACGAGGAACTCATTACGCTAACCAAAGGCTCAAGAACATCCAGTTTCCTATTCCAGCGCCTCAGTGTCGCCGCAACAGTGATTGTTATATGTGTGTGTGTCTGTGTGTTTTCTCTGTTAACTGTAACACAATGTAATAAAATAAAAAAGGTCATATTGAATAAAAAAAAAGTCATATAGAATAAAATAAGAAAAAATAGTAGGGGTGGTAGGAGGAGAAAATTTTAAAATGTTCAATGAGAATCAACAAGATCTTCTCTGAATACTCTTTATTCTCTTCTCCGAGGCTATGGGTCCATACAATAACACCATAGGTGGTACCCATATATTATATATATATATATATATATATATATATATATATATATATATATATATATATATATATATATATATATATATATATATATGCGAACAAGCCTGAATGGTCCCCAGGACAATATGCAACTGAAAACTCACACCCCAGAAGTGACTCGAACCCATACTCCCAGGAGCAAACGCAACTGGTATGTACAAGACGCCTTAATCCACTTGACCATCACGACCGGACATAATGAGGTGATAGCCGAGGCTATTTGAACCACCCCACCGCCGGCACTCGGATAGTAATCTTGGGCATAGCATTTTACCAAATCACCTCATTCTTTGGGGCACACGTGAGGAACACAAATGCGAACAAGCCTGAATGGTCCCCAGGACAATATGCAACTGAAAACTCACACCCCAGAAGTGACTCGAACCCATACTCCCAGGAGCAAACGCAACTGGTATGTACAAGACGCCTTAATCCACTTGACCATCACGACCGGACATAATGAGGTGATAGCCGAGGCTATTTGAACCACCCCACCGCCGGCACTCGGATAGTAATCTTGGGCATAGCATTTTACCAAATCACCTCATTCTTTGGGGCACACGTGAGGAACACAAATGCGAACAAGCCTGAATGGTCCCCAGGACAATATGCAACTGAAAACTCACACCCCAGAAGTGACTCGAACCCATACTCCCAGGAGCAAACGCAACTGGTATGTACAAGACGCCTTAATCCACTTGACCATTACGACCGGACATAATGAGGTGAAAGCCGAGGCTATTTGAACCACCCCACCGCCGGCACTCGGATAGTAATCTTGGGCATAGCATTTTACCAAATCACCTCATTATGTCCGGTCGTGATGGTCAAGTGGATTAAGGCGTCTTGTACATACCAGTTGCGTTTGCTCCTGAGAGTATGGGTTCGAGTCACTTCTGGGGTGTGAGTTTTCAGTTGCATATTGTCCTGGGGACCATTCAGGCTTGTTCGCATTTGTGTTCCTCACGTGTGCCCCAAAGAATGAGGTGATTTGGTAAAATGCTATGCCCAAGATTACTATCCGAGTGCCGGCGGTGGGGTGGTTCAAATAGCCTCGGCTATCACCTCATTATGTCCGGTCGTGATGGTCAAGTGGATTAAGGCGTCTTGTACATACCAGTTGCGTTTGCTCCTGGGAGTATGGGTTCGAGTCACTTCTGGGGTGTGAGTTTTCAGTTATATATATATATATATATATTTTATATATATACACATATATACATATGTATATATATATATATATTGTATTGGAGGGGATCTAAACATTCCCTCTAATGCGCTATGCGTGGTTTCCTCCGAGGCTATGGGTCCCCCTTCTTCCAGCTAGAGGTGGTACTCCCTTCCATATTATATATTATATATTATATATATATATATATATATATATATATATATATATATATATATATATATATACACCAATGTGTGTGTGTGTGTACTCACATATTTGTACTCACCTATTTGTGCTTGCGGGGGTTGAGCTTTGGCTCTTTGGTCCCGCCTCTCAACTTTCAATCAACTGGTGTACAGATTCCTGAGCCTACTGGGCTCTATCATATCTACATTTAAAACTGTGTATGGAGTCAGCCTCCACCACATCACTGCCTAATGCATTCCATCCGTTAACTACTCTCACACTGAAAAAGTTCCTTCTAACGTCTCTGTGGCTCATGCGGGTACTCAGTTTCCACCTGTGTACCCTTGTTCGCGTCCCGCCAGTGTTGAATAGTTTATCCTTGTTTACCCGGTCGATTCCTCTGAGGATTTTGTAGGTTGTGATCATGTCCCCCCTTACTCTTCTGTCTTCCAGTGTCGTAAGGTGCATTTCCCGCAGCCTTTCCTCGTAACTCATGCCTCATAGTTCTGGGACTAGTCTAGTGGCATACCTTTGAACTTTTTCCAGCTTCGTCTTGTGCTTGACAAGGTACGGGCTCCATGCTGGGGCTGCATACTCCAGGATTGGTCTTACATATGTGATGTACAAAATTCTGAATGATTTCTTACACAGGTTCCTGAACGCTGTTCAGATGTTAGCCAGCCTCGCATATGCCGTAGACGTTATTATTTTTATGTGGGCTTCAGGAGACAGGTTTGGTGTGATATCAACTCCTAGATCTTTCTCTCTGTTCGTTTCATTAAGTACTTTACCTCCTATTCTGTATCCTGTGTCTGGCATCCTATTTCCACTGCCTAGTTTCATTACTTTGCATTTACTCGGGTTGAACTTCAACAGCCATTTGTTGGACCGTTCACTCAGTCTGTCTAGGTCATCTTGTAGCCTCCTACTATCGTCCTCAGTTTCAATCCTCCTCATAATTTTTGCATCATCGGCAAACATTGAGAGAAACTATTCTATACCCTCTGGGAGATCATTTACATATATCAGAAACAGTATAGGTCCAAGGACTGACCTCTGCGGGACTCCACTCGTAACGTCTCGCCAATCTGAGACCTAACCCCTCACAC